AAACGACGCCTGTGTCGGCATCAGAGTCCGAATGAGCTGCCAGCGGTGTGTACTGAAAGCGCGACAAATCCTCTACCAAACACGGCGCCGATTTCCCATTTCCGGCACCTTGAGTAGCATCACCACTGCATTCACAAAACCGAGGCGTGTTCAGATATTGCTGCCGGAATAGACATTCATCCAGCGTCGCTGCCCGAGAAGAGATCTCCCTCGGCATCTTCCAGAGAACAAGGATACCGATCACACATCTACACTCGTCTCTCTGTATAAAGCACAGCTCCCTTCATTGCCTCCAGGATCCCTCCTGGCGTTATTTGCTGTGCACCTCCAGGGACAGAGCACTGAGGCAGAAGAGCTGCCGACTAAAAGGCGTTGTCACAGCAACAAACGGCCTACGCTGCCGGTCGGCCGTATTGATTGCACGCGCCGATTAGGCAGGCCGAGGGCAGGAGAGAGGAGCGTGCGCCAGAGCAGCCGTCCCGGTCAGAACAGCCTCAACATGGAGTCTGACTCGACCAGGAAGAATTCAATATAGTGAGCGATTCACAGAAGCTGGAGCTTTATATTAAGGTTTCCAAACGAATATTTTCACATACGACGGATACTTTCATGAAATGCAATCTGAGTCGGCGCGATGCTTGGCTTCAGAAGCAATTCTCAAGTTTGATATAGCGCAATTTTATAACGGGCTCCGGTCATCAATTCTAGTTTTCCGCCGCGGGCGCCGGCTTGGGTTGGCAGTCGGCGGCGCGGCCCCGTGCGTCCACCAGGCGCAACAGGCAGAAACAGCGGCCGCTGCGCCATCAATCGTCGCAGACACAGCGCTAATCGTCGCTCAACGGCGCGCCGGAACCGCCACCGGTCAGACAACGGCGCCGCCAAACGCCGCGAGCTGGCTGTGTGCCAACCCCGAGCGGCGCCTGTGGCGGAGTGAGAGAGGGAAAGAGGGAGAGACAGCCGACCAGACAGACCAGTCGAGAGGAAGGCGCGCGGTCTGACGGGAACTGATGCGGCGGATGGCTGGCGGCGGCGCCTCCGACGCAGAAAAACCGGGACGGGCGACCGCCGCCGGCCGGCCCGAGAGTGCAGCGAACAAATCACCCAGAGACGAGCGAACAGAAATGGAGCGAGCAGCCGACATGGAGACCGGCTGCCGCCTCCCGTCTGTCTGCCAGTCCGAGACTACGGGACGTCCCGTCTGACGTGCGTGACCAGCGACAGATGGCGTCAGCGGCAAACCGACCGGCAGATGGTCGGCGGAGGCCACCCGGCTATCGCGTCCACTGTCCACACAATCACCCACCACGGTCCACATCGAGTACCGTCCCGGTCCACAGAGCTCCACAAAATCCACATCAAATACCGTCCACGGCGACAAGCCTCAGGTCCCTCTCAGCCATCAAACTCTGTCCAAGTTGAGGACGCGAGGGAGGGAGAGAAAACACCCGACATCACGGCACCCATACCGGACGAAGCAACAGCACTAAATCCCACACAGCGCCACCAAACCGGCCATCCGAGTCGTCGGCTCCAACTCGGTCCAACTCCGGCACTAAGTTGGCGTCAGCTCTGAGGCCGTGTTTCGCGCGGGCGGAGCCGCAGTTGGGAACTCGCTCTGCCGTGCCTGCATTATTAATCAGACCCGGACACTTCCGACGAGACAGCTCAGCGGGCGCGGACCCGTGGCAGAAAACAACCTGCCATCGGCCAAAGCGAGGCGGCAGCGCGACAGTCCGATGGCTCCAATCGCACGGTAAAACCAACAGGTCGGACAGATTCGACAGCAGTAGCATTGACATTATCTCGAGCGATCCGACAGTTTCGCTCAGACTGACAATGAGGCGACCCCGATAGTTCGTCATTTTAACAGAACGACCAGAAAACTCTGTCGGACCATCGATGGCATAAAAAACAGCAGCATTAACTAGCGCATTGCGAGGATGATGAACATTTCGATCATCCCCACAGTCCACATCCTGTAATGATAATTCACACATTTAACAACGTCGCCCATTCTTCTCGCGTGCGGTCGACCGACAGCGCGCCGGCCCCGCTGTGCCATTACCGCCACCAGCCAGGAAGCAGCGCAGTCCGGCGCGACAGGCGGTCACGCTACCCCAGCAGACCCGAACTGGACGCTCAGCCAGCATCCTGAACACTGCAGCGAACTTCCCCAGCTCAGGTTTCCGAGGCGAAGAGTCACTGTGAAGGTGAATATGCACAAAACACTGACTTGCAGACTCATGAGTGACTAACCGGAAACCTTTGACTGCTAAAACCCGAGTCCGGTGCGAGGCCGGTCTAAATGCAGACCGTCTTCATGGCTCCCATCAGGGCGAATTAGCATGTTAAACGATGCGAGCTATTGCTGCCTCGGAGGTGTGTCGCACATCCATTTCATGGCCGCCATCAGCATAAGTCCACAGCGCCGGGCCCGACTTCCGTTCCACTAAAAGCCCCCATTTGTACCGCTACCAGCGCAGCCGGTATACGGCGAAGACGGTCAGCGGTCAGCAGCCAGCGGTTCGCAGTCAGCAGTCAGAAGCCAAACTCAGCAGTCAGCGGTTAGCACCGGCCGGGAACCAGCCATCGTGGCGCCTCGGCCTCGTCACAATGGCTTCCCAAAGTGAGCGGATCACACCGTCTTGGCTTCCCTGCGGCGAAAATACACCGGAAACACACACTAAACGATCGGATACGCATTACACACACTTGTCGAAACGACAGGTGAGTTCAATGCCCATCGGTTAACAAGGACGAACGGAGAATGAGCCTCGGACTTGGGCGACACAACTTATTCGTGGTACGCGATGCGCCGAGACATCCCATCGAGAAAGAAAAAGACAAAAAGCTTAGCATGGGTGAACCACTGCTTTGAGCTTGGTGGCGTCTGCTATCTCTAGTCTGCAATTCGCAGTTCAGTGACGCTCTTTCCACGGTCCCCGACTTTTCCATTGTCTACATACAATTCAATATCGACCCTCGGCCGTGCGTCTCCAGTCTGTTGGATGCTCTGCGGCCCGGGACAGGTCGTCGCGGACCGTCTTCGACCCCCGCGGCGCACCTGAGGCCGTTGCCGTCCGTTAATTGGCCGTTAGCCGCCCGGCCGAGCCTCATTATCTCAGACCGAGCCGATCAGAGTTCAGACCAGAGTCGCGGCCGGCCAACTCCGAAAATTGACGGCGTCAGTGCCGGCGCGGGGGCGTCGCGAAACTACCCGAGCACCAAGAACCGAGGCCTCAGTCATGGATCTTAGGTGATCTTAAAGTCAATTCAACTGAAACCAAAATAGCCATTCTGGAAAAGATAATAATGCATAGGATGTGCAATCCAAGTCCTGCCAGAGCTGAAGACGTTTGAGCAAAATAATTGTCCACATGATTTGCGAAGCAAAGCCAGGAAGCCACTTCGACAGTACTTTGACACAAAACAAGTTTTTGTAGTAGAGACCACTAATTGAAGCATTTGTCACACTTCCATCGACGATCCTACGCATTCCTACCTATTTCGCCGACAAAGCTCCTCCTCTCCGCCACTGACACGCGGCCGATGACTGGCGGCGACGGTTGCCGTGGTTACGGTGTGCCGTCGGCGACCGACCCGCATCGGTAACCGAGCGGTAACGACGCACGCGGCGTACGTCACGACCGTCGACAGATTGGAGATCCGATCCCGGGATAGCGTGTCGCAGCGTGACGTCACCTCCGAGCTACTGTGACGTCACGCGAGGGACTGTCCGCCGTGCGCCGAAAGTCACGGCATCACTGCTCTGCTCCATGGTTACTTATCGGCATGGATGCAAAGTTAATTTGGGTTAAGCAAAGGGTAAAATATGCCTAATGCCATTGTCCTGGCTTACCCAGTGTCCTTTTTGGAAAAGAGATCCGCTACGTGCCTACATATTCCACAAACTAAGAAGCACCGTTTCTAAAAAATCAAGGGGATATATATCTAAACAACCTATCGCAAGGTTCAAATTTCCACACACCTGCATTCTCATTGCACTAAAGACGACGCCAAGAAATAATCTGCTCATTTATAAATAGTTATAAAAGTTAGACAACAGCGCCACCTACCACCTGCCATCTACCAAACGATATCACGCGCTGACACTGAGATGGACCGCCCGGGTCACCCTGTCACCCGCAGTCCAAAACCAGCAGACCAATGGACCCCTACCGGCAGGCTCTCCGTCACCGCGTGTCCGTCTCTGTCGCGCAGCCACTCCACGAGCCGTCCACCGGTCCGCAAACGCCAACAGGACCCCCGCCGGTCACCGAGGACAGCGTCCCACCCTGTGTCACACTCTGACACCGAGTGACACGACCTGACACGGGCGACACGGGCCACCCTCGGTCGCGCCGGAAGTTCACAAGGTAGGTGGTGCCTGGCGAAAGGCCTCATGTGCGGATCTCGGAGATTATCTGGATTCTGGACCCTATTGGCACGCAGGTGCGACACGCAAGCTGAGCTAGAAGAATGGAACGAACCGTTGGGTTCTGTAGAGAAGGACCCAGCGAACGAAAGGGTACAAGGTAAGGCAGGTGAAAAGATGGAACTTGGTTGTATTGAAAAGGGAATTCACTCAACTGTGGTGGGATAATGAGGCTTAAATGAAGGCAAGTATGCATGAGAAGTGAGAACGGACAAGGAATGAGCTAACGAGGAAAAGGTTGTTGGAATTTCGACTGCTGAGGCCCTTTACGCCAGACCTTTAGGCATTCTGGTTTCAAGGCCACTTCCACCATTCCTTTCGGACCACGCTTATCGACATTGGAAAGTGGAATGTACGATCATTGCTCAACCTAAGGAGCGAGACTTCAGCCCCAGATCATATGTTTTTGACATGTTTTCACTTTCCTCTCTTCGCTAGAACGCGAAGGCCATCCTGAGACCCTAGCAGGGTATTCTTTGGAATCTCAGGACATCCCAGGACATCCCGGAACGTATCGGAATATGCTCACCGGGTGAAAGAGTCAGGAAAAAGAGAACTTTCTTACCTTCTTGGCGTCATTGTTGTTGTCCGCCGTGAGTGTCATGGCACCGTTGGTCGGTACGGCAGCAGCGGTCATCAGCTCCTCCGAACCACGCTGAAAGACAGAGAATGCTCGGTTAGAGACGGCGAAAAAGTCAAAGTACATTAGCCAGAGCCAATGCATCAGTGAGAGCGCACAGGGCCAATTGGAATTAAACATACAGACAGTGCACCGGTTGCAACGCACGAGTACGGCATGGGCGTCAGCACAAGACAAACTTCAGATCAAGGCTGCCACAAAATACGATGTTGAAGAGCTTGCAAATGTGACACAAAGCATGATACAAATATTTAACCTGCACCTTGTGGTAGAGGCGGGGACCACCAGATGGACCTCACACTAGCGTCCAATCGCAAACATGACGTGGGAGTGAAGTGACTCAGGCCTCTGACAAAGGATGGACCCTGGCGCCAGCTGTGAGGGGATTCATGAATCCCATGCAAGGAGGTGTGACACAACCCTCAGTCCGGGGCGGATGACGAGTGACGGCCAGCAGTCGCACAGCTGGTCCTGCATGTCACGACAGATGTCACGGTGCACGACAGCTGGCCACCGGACGACCACACGGCTTGGCACGGCAGGGCTCAACACGGAACGGCACGGCACGGCTCAGCATGGGAGCGCCACCGCATAGCATCGCAAAAGCCAGGTGAGGGGACAAACCCGAAAGTGAGTCGCAACTTGAGAACGCAACTCGAGACGACAAACGTGACCTAGGCGTACACTTACACCCCTGCACGTCTTGGCCGTCAGGAGTCTAACCAAGTCACACCGTCACCGTTCCAGCCCCTGCATCCACCTACGTCCCCGACTCCAAGATGGGCAGGTGGTGAGCGGAGGACAAGCACTCGTTGCGAATCAGACGGCCAGGTGGTCACTGGACAGCCGGCAGTCCTGCAGGGCGACGGACAAAGACTACGGAGACGCCTATCGGGGAGGGCCGACTGGAGCAGAAGCTTCCGGTGGACGAGCCCGAGGGAAAAGATTGCGAAGAAAGGAGGAAGGAAGGAAGGGGCGAATCCGTTTTAAGTATGAGCTCTCAATGGAGGTATGCAAACGAAGACACCGAGTTTTTCCCTTGAAACTTCTCGCCCACTCTCTGCTCCACTCGCCGTCCGTCGCCGTCGACGACTGCCGTTCGCGCCTCTCGGCTCTCCTGCCAGCGGCGCGCCCGTTCCTACACTCCCCTTCGCACCACCCCTAGTCAGGGTCTGCCCCGCGTCTGTCGGCGGGGTGATTTATCTGTCTCCGACCCCCGTCTCCCTTTGCTCCGGTCACGTTCAGTGGCGCCCGGGCAGGGTCCTAACCTTCCATAGCCGCGTCGCCGCTATGAGTTGATTAGGCCCCCGTTGCCCGCGCCACTATCACCAAGCGTTCACCTCAGTTGGCTGTCAGTGGCCGAAACCACTCGCGTCGGCTCGTTTGTAGGGTAGGACAGCCCCTAAAAACGCCAAATACACCCAATGGAATGAAAAAGTCTTAGGCTAAGCGTCCGCTGACCACACCTTTCTCGATCTCTGCTGAGCAGTTAATGGTTTGACCACGAATCCGGGCACATGCCGCATGCGGAAAGGTTCCCAGTGTGTTCCGCTGGCGATGCCCGGTCTGTTATTGCGGCATGGCTCTTGGTGGTGAGTTTGGGTCGAACCAGTTAGTGTGAACCGGGGCGGCGAGGGACTCCCTCCACCCCAAGGTCGGCTCCCGTCCTGAGTCAGCTGTGACTGGACCCCATACTCCCCGCACAGTGCCGCCAGTGACTCACTGTCGACCGGCGTGGGGGCGCCGCGACCCACTAATGGAACGTGACCGTGTTCGGGGTGTTCGTTAGTCGTCTGCCTCTCGTGGCCGCCGGGGGACCAGCGGGGGAGCCGGGTCGTGTGGCGTCGGCGGTATCAGGTTGCGGCGGGCGGCCCGTCCCGCCGCTGTCGCCCGGTTTGAGGACCGTGGCGGCCCCACTGTGGGCCTCTGTGGCTCCGCGGACAGTACCGGCAGGCGGGCCCGCGGCTGCCCCGGCGTTGACTGTCTCATCAGGTGTCATGGCGGTGCCGGGGCTGTGCCAGCGGCCGGCGGCCGGCTCTGGCTCCGCCGATGGCTGTCTTTTCTGACTGGCGGTCGGCGCGGGCGGCCTTGGGGGAGGGGGGGAGGGGCGACTGTGGTTCCCGGCGGCCCTGCCGTGTCGTTCGCTGATATTCCGGTGTGTGTGAAGCCATGCCTGGACACACTGCGGTGAGAGGGGGGGGGGGGGGTCCGATCCGATGGTTTTGTCCTCGTGTCGGTCTTGGATCCCCGTGTTCACGGCCTCGGGGTTGTGATGTTTAGCCCGGCACGCTTCCCGGCGCCTAAACCGACGTCATCGGTGCTGGCTAAAATGGAATGCCGCGAATCTGGGATCAGTGGCCTGGTTTCGCCTTTGATATCGTGCTGCAGATTATCTAGTCGTCGGCAGTGGTCCCGTAGACCTATGTTGCGCGCAACTTAGCCGCGGCGTCGGCGGCGGACCCGGTTTACGTGCTCATACGACCGCACATACATAAATGAGGTTTGTATGGCCATGTGGCCGTGAATGACTGGTAGAAAAGGTTGTGCATAGATTCCGGTGCTGTGATGGCACCGCACGCAAAGCACAGTGCCTCACGGAAAGTAGGAGCGGTGCATTGTTAGCGTACTTTAAACGCACCTACCCCTACCTAAGAATCACGTGCTGTTCATGAGGCCTGTGAGCACGGGCGCCGATGACTTTTCTGCCGCTCCGTCCTGGCCTGCGGGATGACAACTTTGCATTGCCAGCGCATATGGGGACTCACATTTGGCAGCTGCTCGCACGGGTTACCGTGGGTGGGCAGGGTTCGCTAAAGTGTCGGCTGCCAGCTTGCCGCAGATTGCAGTGTCGCGACGCTTACTCGGAGTCTCGAGATTGGGGGGCCGGCAGGCAGCGGCGTAGTCGGTGTAGTTGTGTCCGGGCATGATCTTGCATGCATGTGGTCTGTGCTTGCTCGATTCCTGCACTCAGAATACACTTTGAGAGCAGTTTGAATAAAGACTCAATTGAGCGCTGCTTGACACCGAAAATAGGTACCGACTGAGCGTTTCTGCGATCAATGGCGTTGCTCAGAAAATATTCTCAAAATGTGTGATCTGTTTTGAATCGGGGACATTAGCCCGAAACTGATCTCTGAGACCGAAAATGGAGAAACTGTTTTCTCAGTGTGTGCGGATTGTTCGTTCGGTCTCGTCTGCCACCGTTGAGCCCAGTATTTCAGACATTGGACGAAAGAAGTTCATAGTCTGTCGATAGCTAGATGCCTGTCGAGTTACAGAGTAGCCGATGCATGACGCAGACCGGGTGTGTATGTGTGTGTGGGGGGGGGGGGGGTGCGTGTGTGTGTGTGTGTGCGTATGTGTTAAGCGCAAAGTGGCCGAGGCGTCGGCAGCGGACCAGGTGTGTAGTGTAGATAGAGTGGCCGAGGCGTCGGCAGCGGACCAGGTGTGTAGCGTAGACAGAGTAGCCGAGGCGTCGGCAGCGGACCAGGTGTGTAGTGTAGACAGAGTGGTCGAGGCGTCGGCGCCGGACCGGATGTATGCGTATGTCGGTTTGCAGAAATACGGAGGCGGCCACTTAGAAAATACTTTGAGACCTTTTTACAAAGAGACTCCTCGAGTGCTAAACCGAGCCTCCAAGGTGACTGGCTGAGATGTGTTTCTGCGGCAGCGTATGTCCATCAGGTTGCGTTCGGAAGCGCTTCTCGGAATGCGTGGTCTGTTTTGACAAGGGGCATTATCCCATCTAACCAACCCCGCCACGTTGCCTCGTCAACAAGTGCTGCTTTATCTCGCTATTGAAGCGGCTCCCATGCAGGTTTCGTGTCAGGTTTCGTGGCAAGATGTTATATGCGATGACAATAGCGTGTCTGAACTACGCCTGCCAGACTCCGATCGAATCGCCGGCGTGACTAAATGGTCTGCGTTCCGTGTTGTACGGTACGGCGGTGAACACCTCCACGAGTGACCAGGTCGCCGGCGATCGACTCAGGCTCTGATGTCACTAAAATGCGCTTTAGTAAGCTAAGTGCCTACCGTGTTGCAGAGGGCCGAGGTGACGGCGGCGCACCTGGCGCCTGTAAGTTGCAGAGTAGCCGAGGCGTCGGCGGCGGGCCTGATGCGTGTGCTGGGTTGCAGATTAGCCGAGGCGCCGGTGGCGGACCCGATGTGTGCAGGGGTTACAGTGCAGCCCAGGCGTCGGCGGCGGGCCCGATGTATGTGCATGAGTTGCAGAGTAGCTGAGGCGTCGGCGGCGGTCCTGATGTACTTACGTGCAAGGATTGTAGCGTAGCCGAGGCGTCAGTGGCGGACCTGATGCGTGTGCGTGAGTTGCAGAGTAGCCGAGGCGTCGGCGGCGGACCTGATGTATGTGCCGTTGCAGAGTAACCGAGGCGTCGAGGGCGGACCTGATGCATGTGTGTGAGTTGCAGAGTGGCCGAGGCGTCGGCGGCGGACCCCATGTACGTGCGAACATGGGTGGAGAATTGTTTTCAAAGTTGGTATGGCGCCAGTTGCTCGAAACAATACTATCGTGTTTTATTCTTATCAAACTGAAAACCTTAAATTTCGTAGCTTTTACCCTGAAAAGTTGGTATGGCATTGCCATACCATCTTTTAAGTTGGTGTGGCGCGTGCCATGCCTGCCATACCATATTCTCGACCCATGCCGGTGCAGCTTTTACGGGGTGGCTGAGGCTATACGACGGCGGGCCTGATGTGTGTGCATGAGTAGCAGTGGGGCCGAGGCGTCGGCGGCGGACCTGATGCATGTGCATGAGTTGCAGAGTAGCCGAGGCGTCGGCGGCGGACCTGATGTATGTGCGTGATTTGCGGAGTGGCCGGGGCGTTGTCGGCGAACCTGATGTGTGTGCGTGGGTTGCAGAGTAGCCGAGGCGTCGGTGGCGGACCTGATGTATGTGCAGTGCAGTGTATTGATGTCAACTACGGAAAAACGGAATACCGATACCAAACCAAGTACCAGCCTATGGTTCATTACACCATCAAAATACCGAACA